AACTATTGACTGCAGCTTCTATAAGAGTGACACGATTTCTGCTCGAAAAGACTCTCCCCAGATAAAACACCAATAATGAAAGCTACCAGACACTTCCATTTAGGATGGAGGTTGCCAAAATGGGAAGGAAACTGATTTTCACACAATGGATTAACTAACTTACTTAGTTATTGTAGTAACTTTTTAGGAAAATAGGTTAACAGTTTAAATAAGCAATAGCTATACTAAGGGTCTTTCAGTTCCAATTCTGCCCGTGTTCCCAGTTGTGTTTGGGTAGCTCTGGACAAATAGTATTTCAGTATTTTAATTTCTCATCTTTTAAAAATGGGTATTTCATGGAGCCAAAGAATAACCAGTAAAAATCTTGATCCATTATAAAATCATTGTTAAAATGCTTCACAGTATAAGTGCACCTCATTTTGGGGGGGGGCAATTTATCAATACTTGCCAAAATGTTAAATGCAAATATCTTTTGACTCAGCTATTCTACCTTGAGACATCTATCCTAAAGACCTACACACACCTGAGAGAAATGTACACAGATGTTCACAGCAGTATTGTTAGAAATAGCAAAACAGAGGAAAAAACCTGAATGTCCATTAGTAAGGAAATGATCAAATATATTATGGAGCGCCCTACTATGAAATGCCATTTACATGACTGAAGTATGTGATGAAATAGAAAAACAAATGAGTGCATCTTAATTTACAAGGATTGCTCTAATCCCCTTTCCTCTGATTTTCTATTACTGGATTTCAGAATCTCCATATACTCTTGCCCACCACTCGTCATACTCACAGGTTTATCCTCATATTATTACAGATTTGCATTGCTACTTCCTGCTTTTCAGTGGATGCCCAATACATTCAACTATTTAGAAGGTCCAAACCAAAGGGCAAGCCTAAAGGCAAAAGTGATTACATTTCCTCCTGGTAGATAGGATCTATTTTGGTCTGAGACCCACTGGAAGATGAGCATTATAGTCTGGAGTGTGGTATGTTAAGTCATGCTTGTGTCATTCCATGTTCTGTGGTATGATCCCATGCCATGATGTATCGTGAAAGAGCAGCAATCCTAGAACATCATCATTTTGCCTTATTACTCCAGGGGGTAATTTGGCTGAGACCGAGAATTTCCGAAGTTGTGGCCAGTGTCAGCACTGCTTTGCTCTTAGAAGCGACAAGAAAATGAACCACCCCTTCCATCTTTTGCAGGATAGCTACCCAAACCATTTTCTAGCTTTTATCTAGTTTAAAAGACATTCTTTTTTTTTTTTTTTGAGACAGAGTCTCACTATTGCCCAGGCTAGCTAGAGTGCCCTGGCATCAGCCTAGCTCACTGCAACCTCAAACTCCTGGGCTCAAGCAATCCTACTGCCTCAGCCTCCCAAGTAGCTGGGACTACAGGCATGTGCCACCATGCCCAGCTAATTTTTTTTCTATATATTTTTAGTTGTCCGGCTAATTTCTATTTTTTTTTAGTAGAGACAGGGTCTCGCTCTTGCTCAGGCTGGTCTCAAACTCCTGAGATCAAACGATCCGCCCACCTTGGCCTCCCAGAGTGCTTAGGATTACAGGCGTGAGCCACTGCCCTTGGCCTAAAAGGCATTCTATCATGCCTGTAACCCCAGCACTTTGGGAAGCCAAGGCAGGAGGATCACTTGAGGCCAGGTGATTGAGGCCAGCCTGGGCAACACAGCAAGACTCCATCTCTACAAATATTAAAAAATTAAGTGGGCATGGTGGCACATGCCTATAGTCCCAGCTACTCAGGAGGCTGAAGTGGGCGGATTACTTGAGCCCAGGAGTTGGTGGCTACATTGAGCTATGATTGTGCCAACTTCACTCCAGCCCGAGCAAAAGTGAGACCTTTTCTTAAAAAAAAAAAAAAAAAGGCATTTCAAGGGTCACTTGAAAATGACATAAAGCACAAATATAAAAAATTTAAATGACTATTATCACAATCCCTTATTAATAAAACAGCCTAATTAATAGCCAATGGTTCACACCTAAGCAAGTTAATTCCAAGACACAAGTTGTTTGATTTGTGCAAATTTGCAGTGATACCATACCATCACATGCAAAAGTGCCTGACTGGTACTGAAAGCTATTTCAGGTTCTTCCAGGAGGTGTATTATACAAAGCAGACCTAAATTTGAACTTTCATTATAGACTGTGTGGTCAAGCAAGGTAGCAGACGTGTTGTTTATTCAAAAATCGCTATTTTGTCTTTCTTGTGCAATTTTCAATATAGCTAGATACTACCATCATGTCTGAGCAAGTTAGATTCCCTAGGCAGTGAGGGAAATATCTGTTGAATGGCTACTTTGTGTCACACGGGCACTTTTCATATCTTTATCACTTACTTAATCCCTAACCCTGGGGTACACAGGACACACACAAGATTTTTCAGCTATCACTCTAAGAAAAAAAGAATGACAAGTATCAACACCTTGATGGAAGATCACCAGAATTATAGCGGCCAACCAGCAACAACTCTCAACCTTTACACAGCAAGTTAGGAAATCGGATTATTTTAGAAAACTTTTAATCAGTATATAATATACTGATTTAAAAAATACTAAAATGTATGCTATTTAACCTGTTCTTGATGTTATGAAAATCTTTAAATCCCACAGCACTGTTAACTACCTCAGAATTAAAATAGTTCCCACACATTTTAAAAAATATATCATCTCCAGTTTTAACCAGTTTTACACTGCATCATCTAAATCTTATAATTGTCTCTCAGCTCCACTAACTTTGAGTTTTAGACATCTAACTTCCAAGGGATACTGTTGGAACACTAAACCAAACTATATTAGTTTTTAGGTCGAAGAGGATTTTTGTCCATTTTTTCCTGTTAAGATCTGAGGTTAAAGAATTAACCTAAAAAATCTTTGTTCCCATTTTCAACATCTCAAAAATGGTACTTGTCATGACACACCCACTAAAGTTACAAATAAGTTTCCTTGCCAGAATTCATTTTTAAATAGATCAGACTTACTAATGTTGATTCTATAGTTATAGAAACTTCCATTTAAATCAGATTAAATGAGTCATTTGTTCCCTTTGACTAAAAATTTGATAAATGTTAAAACAATTGCAGCCTTTCCATTAACCCTGCTTTTCACTTACATGTGCCTCACTTTAAAAAATCTTGTTTAATCATTCTGAGAATAAAATTAGTTTTTCCTCATTTATATATATAGCATCCACTGAGAGTACTTGGAATGTTTGACAAAACCTGTTTTTATCAGCCCATTAACCTATTTATAAGCATAAAGTGAGTATTTTTAAAAGGAAAAACTTTGCCAGTCCTTATATTTAATTTAAAAAGCGTTGCTAAGAGGTATTA